AACAATCATGAGACAAGGATGTGAGGTATACAAAATATGTGCTATTACATTCAGCTTACAACACAGAAACAAGCTGTTCAGCCCAAGTGGTCTGTGTTGGTATTTTGCGCTTCCTTCTACCATATGTCTTGTAATCCAGTCTGCTCATCCTTACATTACCAAGAGGACCCATTGCTGAAATTAACATTGAAAACATATGACCCAAGTAGAAGGATTGAGTTTGCTTCATTATTGCTTAGTTTAGAGATTTTCTTTCTGTTTGTGTCAGCAAATACATTCTTTTATGTTACACCATGTAGAACATGAAAATACTGCTACTGGGCCGTCATGAAAGCCAGCTCCAGATTGCAGTTAAGTATTTTAAGGTGATCTCAGGGCACCATGAGGCTTTAACATATAAATGGAAAGTTTGCTCAGTTCTTAAAAACAGGCTCTCTGGAATAGAGTGAAAGTTAGCACATTGGGAGCCACTCCCAGAACTTTTGTTTAAAGCTTTTCTTGTTTGCCTGAACTCTTTGAAGCACATTATTCACATCAGCTTCAGTATGATACAAAAGTGGTTCTAAACAAAATCCAGCAAAACAAGCTGAAATAAAAAACCTGTGTCCCCGTAGTTGTTGCTTTCTGCATACAGATTACTTTTTAATTTCGTTATGAATGGGTCAAAGCAATGCTTGACGAGGAGCCCACCCAAAGGTCAGGATATATCTCTGAGTTCCTCAAAGAGCTGCACATTTGCTTGCTGGATGCATGTGAAATGGAGTTCTCCCACAGTGTGTACAAGAAATGATGTGAATCTTAAGCTAGTTCGGACAGTGATGATGTTGGGGAAGATTCCTCGAGGGGAGCAGTTAATAATGGTGGACACCAACCAGTCATAAAATTTTACTGTTAACATTTTTGCATCATTCCTTTTCAACTCTTGAAAAGAAACAAAATGGTATTTGTACAACACTTCATTATGGCCTTAGAACATCCCAATAACTTTGCATAACATTGCTTTTTGGACACATTCTTCATTGTATATTTTCCCCTCATCTTTTAAGCACATGCCCAAACTACTGTAGCCACAAGAATACATTGATGATCAACTGGTACCACTAGCACAGAGTGGCCACTGAGCAATATTTGTCCTTCTACAAAGAATGAAATAATTTCTGCAGCTTTACCATCTGCACACAATTGCAACCACACATCAACCCCAACTTTTACTGCACGTAAATCCTGAGACAAAGATTAGGAAAGAAAATGGGGATGCAAACTGGCTTTTTGTCACAATGAGCTCCAAACTTTCACGGGCCACTGAAGTCTACAGTGTCAAGGCAACAAATTTTGGATGGGACACCAAAGTGAGGATCCATACATAAACAACACTATTCGAAGATGAGCAAAATTCTCAAATTTGATCCCTCAACAAAACATGACAAAAAAGAAGTATTCATTATCTTATTGTTGATTGTGGGACCTTGCTGTGAGCTGGCCTATTGTTGTAAGAATACAGCAGTGATTGCTTCAATGAAAATAAACATACTTAAATGAACTGCAAAGTTCTGTGGAATGGCCTCAGGTTGTGAAAGCAATCTATACAGGGTCCGTTAGAGATAGTAAGAACTGCAGATACTGGAGCCAGAGATAACTCAGTGTGAAGCTGGAGGAACACAGCAGGCCAAGCAGCATCAGAGGAGCAGGAAAGTTGACATTTTGGGTCGGGACCCTTCTTCAGAAATGATACTTTTCTGAAGAAAGGCCCCAACCCGAAACGCCAACTTTCCTGCTCCTCTGATGCTGCCTGGCCTGCTGTGTTCCTCCAGCTCCACACTGTATTATATAAGGAACCTTTCTCATTGTGTGAAGTGCTGCCTGATATTTGTTCTGGTCTTGCCTTTGAACCCAGGTCCTATAGTTGATTTAAACTTCAATCTGGATTAATATTTTCTGTTGCTATATTATCAATGCTTGCACAACTTTAATTACCTTACCTCTATGCCTGCTCAGGATTCAAAGATCAACATACAGCTGAAGCAGATTTATTCTTACATCACTGTATATAACAATAGCATAAACATTACTGATCAGAAACTAAAATTGATCTCTTTTAAACATACAACGTAATAAAGTGCCCTATGTGGCCACCTGGCAGTTCCCAATACAAAAATGGATGAGATCTACAATGCTGGCATATTCAAATTAAATTCAGTGCCTTATTTGTGTCTATCAGTAATTTTTTTTATTATTTATCTATGCATATGGGAGTCACAGGCTGAGCCAACATTAATTGCCCTTCAGCTGAGTGACTTGCCACCCATTTCAGAGCGAGGTTAAGAGTCAACCACATTACTGTGAGTCTGGAGTCATATGTCGGCCGGACCAAGATGACAGATTTCCTTCCCTAAAGCCCATCAAATGAAGGAGATTTGTTTTTACAACAAATAACCAGTGGTTACATGATTGCCATTAGGTTGGCTTTTTATTTAAATCCCTGAATTTTGCAGAATTCAAATTTCACCAATTGCCACAGTTTGATTTAAACCCATGTCCCAGAACATTAGGGACTCTACTTGTCTCATGAGATGACCACGTTGCCACTGCTTCTCCTGAACTGGAAAATTGATGACCCAGTCCAAGTGTTGCTGAGAATTCCTAATAGTTTCACTTTCACAGAGCTGTTCTCTGCCATCTGATTGCTGTTTGCATGTGGAAGCAAGAGGAAAGACGTTATGCATCGCAACAACATCTTCTATTTATGCAACAACCTCAACATAAAAATCCCACGCTCTCTAAGGCACTTCACAGTTGCCTTCTGAAACCAAATATGACACTGAACCACGTAGTGGAGGGAGGTTGGGTCAGATGACCAGGTAGGTTTCAAGGAGTAAGGGTCATAAAGGAGCAAAGTGAGACAGAGCAAGGTGGAGAGGTTTATGGAGCTGGGCCTAGGTAGCTGAAGACACAGCTACCAAATGGTGCAGCAAAAAAAATCAGGAAGGGGGATGGTGGGATGACAGGCTAGAATTTGATGAGCACAGCTATCTCGGAGGATGATGGGGCAGGCAATTTCACAGATTTAAAATTGGTTCCTGACAGCACTGTGAGACAACATTGCTGTTGCATGTTTACTGTGCAGTTCACACACCAACTGCCTCAGCAGAGGTTCTCTGATGTTGTCACTGAAACATCATCAGTGCACCACCTACTTTGATGAATAGGTTTCTTTATCATGGTGCTACCGTCCCTTTCATCACTGAACTGGGTGGATCCGGAAGAGTTCCTGTCTCGGAGAAGTTTACCAAACATTTTCCTCATGCTGAAACCTGAATTTACGATAATCCCATGCTGACACAAGCCACATTAAATCATGACGCAAACGGTTGAAGCAGCAAAGTTCACCTGGGGTTCTGGCTCCAGCTCAGTCTTCAGCTGCTTCTCAGACTGAGATTTTGCCTCCATGAATCTACTCCGTTTCTCCATCCAAACAGTGTATGCAGCAATACCAGGGAAGGCCAAATGGTGGAATGGCCATGGAGGGTCTCATCAGCCAGCTACAGGGAAAACCCACAGACCCCACACGTCCACCCAGCAATGATGGGTCTTCCCTTGCAGTCAAGGCCTTGCAAGAAGAAGGGGAATGTTGACCAATGAGAGCCCAAGCACATTTCACTCAGCAGCACGACGGAGGAGGCTAAGACTGAGGCCCAAGATCACAGGGCCAAAGCCAAAGGTAGTTGGGGGGCGGCAAAAGCAAGGACAAGAGGTGGTTCCCAATGGGCACCACATGGTCTGATGTCCAGTTCCTTAATCAAGAGTTCCCCATAAAAAGTGACAAGGTATCTCCAGGATAGCTAGCAACTTTGGTGAAGAGGGCGAAAAAAAAACACTTTCCCGTCCAGAACCCAATTCTGGTGGAGGCAGGAAGGCAGTGTGAAATCAGACTCCATTATCTGCTTATATAAACGTCCCTCTGACTTCCAAATGAAAGGCCAAGAAACATGAACTCTCTCTCCGCAGAACTATCAAACTGAGTTTTTCCAGTGGTATCCTTTATCTGTCAGATTTCCAGTATTAACAGCATTTTGCTTTTGAAATTGCCCTCTCATGTTGGTTAACTAGGGGAGGCGATGGCCTAATGGTATCGCAAGACTATTAATCCAGAGACCCAGATAATGTTCTGGGGACACAGGTTTGAATCCCGCCACGGCAGATGGTGGAATCTGAATTCAATAAAAATATCTGGAATTAAGAGTCTAAGGATGATCGTGAATCCATTGTCAGTGGTCAGGAAAAACCCACCTGGTTCACTAATGTCCTTTAGGGAAGGAAATTGCCATCCTTACCTGGTCTGGCCTACATGTGACTCCAGACCCACAGCAATGTGGTTGACTCTGAACTGCCCTCTGGGCAATTAGGGATGGGCAATAAATGCTGCTCAGCCAGTGACGCCCTCATCCCGTTAATGAATAAAGGGGAAAAAAAACACCGATCCTAAAGAAAAAACCGGTTTGCACCTACAACTTGAGCTTGAAAAAACATTGACGATTTGTATTTACTTTCCTCACATTCTGCTATCTTGTACAGTTAAAGGAAAATGCTGAATATAGTTAACACGTCGGGCAACATCTGTGAATTGGAGAGGGGTGGATTAATATTTGAGACACAACACTTCATAAGAACGGGCAACATTTTTCAGATGTTGGCCTCAGATTTCCAGGTAACAATTTTTTTTACCACCAAGGAGGAGGACCAGCCTGTGGGGATTCATTGCAAACATTTTAGGTGCGAGCCAGCTTGAAATGCAGAGACAGAACGAGCAAGGGGCACCTACGTAACTTAAACTGTATTCGATGTTCAGAAAAACAAAACACATTGGGAATGTTTACCCACTCACAAATCTAACAGACGCACAAGCACACCTGAAAATTAATATCCATGTCCCACCTCCCTAATCAAATTCCCATCAGATAAAATGAGAATAGCCTTAGACAGACAGCACGAAAGCCACTCACCCAGAAGTTGTCCCGAAACCGTGGCTCTCTCATGTTGAAATTAAATGCCAAGCCTGCACTAACACTATCCCCAGAAATCCAGCAGCACTTGCTGCTGAAAACTCCTGTTCCGTCTTGTCAGCAGGTTCACGAGTGCTACTGTCTTGTAGATGATTTGCCTGCTCTGAAAGACATTTGTCTAATTCGCCACCCTTCGACTGTTTTTAATTCCCTCACCCAAAAAGGCACACAGACGGAATTGGATTTCTCTGGGTCCTAGTGTCTGCCGGGGATGTGCAGGGAAGCTGCAATACATTGATCCACGTGGTATTATTTCTATTTGAGTTGGGATGCTTTCTGTTCGCTGAAATGACGAAGAAGCGAGTTCCTGTTTTCCACAGTCAGCACTCAGGCGTTAGGTGCTCCAAGTTAATGCACCAATTGCAAAGTGGTGATATCTACTAGAATTCAGAGACAGGAGCTCTTGCAGCATCGAGATCCCCATCCAGGATTTAATATCCAAGAAAATTGTGTTCATAGCAAGGTCAAGCAGGTTGAGTATCAATGTTTAACTCCTCCCGAAATATTTTGTTGAGATGGAGCGAGATTCCTGGCCAGCCACGTCATGGAAAGAAAGTTACAGTCTCCACAGTACAATAGGGTATCCTTCCACAGCAATTTCTAAAGTGGGGTCGAGGCAGGGCCTGATTCCTTGCGTGTGGAGTTACTGTTGAATCTGCTTCCACAAACTGACAGGCAGTGTATTCCAGATCTTAGCAACTGTGTGCAGTGTTTTCCTTGTATCACCTCTAGTTCTTTTGCCAATTAGCTTAAATTTGTGCCTTCTAGTAATTAATTGCTGCTGGAAAAAAATTACTGTATCTTTCAGTGTACCCATTATCAAATCTTCTCTGCTGCAAAGCAATTAACCTACCTTCACTAAGTTCTCCATTAACCTGTGTTCCCACATTCCTATCATACTATTTTAATAAATCTCCTCTTCATGCTCTTTAAAGCTTTGACATTGTTTCCAGAGTGTGGTACCCCAAATTAGACATTATGCCTCAAGTTATAAGGATCCAATATTTTCTTTAAGAACCATCTGAACTTGTTGTGTCACTGTCAAAGATGTACTTGTACACCCCAAGGTCTCTTTCTATTTGCACTCTGTTACAACTCTACTAACTTATCCATCAAAATGCATCACTTCACACTTATCTACATTAAATTTAATCTCCATGTGTCTGCTCATTGCACCAGTCTTTCTCTCCTCTGGAAGTGTGCTACTGTCCTGTTCACTGTCACTATGTTTCCAGATTTCAATACAACTGTAAAATTTGTAATTATGCTCTCAGATCCCAAGCATGGGTTGTTAATATATACCAGAAAGAGCTGTGGTCCCAATATTGGCCACCAGGGGTTACCACTGTATTCTTCGCTGGTATCTCAGATCATCACAGAATCCCTACAGTGTGGAAACAGGCCCTTCAGCCCAACAAGTCCACACTGACCGTCAGAGCATCCCACCCAGACCCATCTCCCTATCTACACATCCCTGAACACTATGGGCAATCCACCTAACCTGCACATCTTTGGACTGTGGGAGGAAACCAGAGCACCAGGAGGAAACCCACACATACACAGGGAGAATGTGCAAACTCCACACAGACAGTTGCCCGAGGGTGGAATTGAACCCGGATCCCTAGCACAATGAGGCAGCAGAGGTAACCACTGAGTCACCGTGCTCTACTTTTCACCATAACTCTCTGCTTAGTCAATTGTGGATCACCCAATAATATTAGGCATACAATGACATGGAAAAGAAGAAATCTATTTAACAACGCAAAAAAATCGAAGTCTGCAAAAATTACAAGGGCCACAAAAATGTCAAAGTCCAACCATGCTTGGGAGATTATCAACAGAATCTGAAACAACTAAACAAAGTCCAAACCAAGTTCATTTTCCTGGATAAAAACTGAAATAACTGCGGATACTGTAAATCAGGAACTCAGCAGATTTGGCAGCATCTGTGAAGGAAAAAAGAGAGTTAACATTTCGGGTCTGATGACCGGAACCGAAACGTTAACTCTGTTTTTTCCTTTACAGATGCTGCCAGACCTGCTGACAAAAACAGAAATTGCTGGAAAAGCTCAGCAGATTTGGCAGCATCTGTGGAGAGAAATCACGGTTAACAATTGGAATTAGGTTGTGGTTTGGTTCTTTCTCTTACATGTATACAACATGGGTAATTTATTTTAAGTTTGGGTTTTACAATTTGAGTTGGTGTCATGTGACTTTTCTGTGTGTCAGAAGGTAATAATTGACTTTCTGTAGAAATGGTGATTTTTTTGGTAAAACAGTTTGTGAGAGCTACTTTGGCAGCATTAATTTTTCTTTGTTTACCTTAGGATGTTTCACAACTTAGTAAAACAAAACATTGTGCTTAAACGTCTGTTAGAAATTTCTGTTGTGATTTTTCTAAGCTTAGGAAAATGCCCATAGTTTAGAGAGATCTTTTTCCAATTTTGCTTTCCTTTTATATCAGTTCGTTGAAGTCCTTTGATAGGAATGATTATCCAGAACAGTACACCTGGAAAGGGGAGAATATAATAAGTTTACCCCGGAGTAGGGAGTTAGTGATAGTAGCAAATCAAAAGTGTTGGGATAAAAGCTGAAGTGTGTATTTGAAGTTAAGTGCCTTTAAGAACAGGTGTATGATAGTTCCACAAACAAACTATTTCAAATCACCATGTTGCATCACTTCACATCAGACTGAAGGTCATGATGTAGCTTGACACCCCAGTATCTATGCAGCACTTTAATGACCTGATATTCTCACAATGGCTGGAGTCCTTGAGGTCTTCGTGCAACTTCATAATATAGAAGGAGACAGCAGCTACAACATCCTCATCAAACCTAGTAGGAATGGCAAACACCAGCAACTGCTGTACAGTCTCCTGAAGGAGAAACAGCAGGTGAAGATCCACCAAGGAGACGAAGAACAGTGAAGCATGAATGCACCTAGGATATTACGGATGTCTTTTTCAACAGCCCTTCATAGCCAATGAGCGTGAGGCAGGAATTTCAAGTTCACTTCAATAAAGACCTCATGTTGAATATCTTGCTGTTCAATTTATCACTTTAGTTGCAAAATATGGAGTCAGAATAGAGTGTTGCAACGCTGTAAGAAAGCATTTCTACAGTCAGAGACAAAATAAAAACCGAAAGAGCTGCGGATGCTGTAGATCAGGAACAAAAGCAAAGTCTGGCAGGTCTGGCAGCATCTCTGAAGGAAAAATGTTTCGGATCTGGTGACCCTTCCTCAGAACCTTCCTACAGCCAGAGACACAGGAGTGCGGAGAGCTTTGAACCACCACTTAAAACAAAAATTAATATAGAAGCAAGCCACAATTTTAAGAAAATAGTTAACAGAAATTGGTAGCTGCTATTCCCCTATCAACTCCTCTTCAGTTGATAGAGGATTTGAAGCAAAACTGGAAATTGTTTCATATACAATGACAGAATTATGAAATAGGAACAGATATGATGAGCAAGCCAGAACAATTACAAGTCACTGCACTTTTATCTCTTTTGGGAGCAGACCGCTTCAAAGTATTTTTTTATTCATTCATGAGATGAGGGCATCAGTGGGTAGGCCAGCATTTATTGCCCATCCCTAATTGCCCAGAGGGCAGTTCAGAGTCAACCACATTGCTGTGGGTCTGGAGTCACGTTTAGACCAGACCAGGTGAGGATGGCAGTTTCCATCCCTAAAGGACATTAGTGAACCAGATGGGTTTTTCCTGACAATCGACAATGAATTCATGGTCATCATTAGTCCATTTATTCCAGAATTTTATTGAATTCAGATTCCACCATTTACAGTGGCAGGATTCAAACCCAGGTCCACCAGAACATTACCTGGGTTTCTGGATTAACAGTCCGGCAATAATACCACTAGGCTGTTGGCTCCTTTTGTAAGTAGATGAACCATGGGGATTGTCACCAAAATTAAGCAGCATTATTGAAGCAACTGCTGAGCTTGTGCATCCAGAATAATGCAGCAGCTTGTTACAGTGACATGGAGGCTTCCCAAAGTGGTCATTGTTGTGCTTCCATAAGAAACACTGAGGTATGTGACATTACCCATTTGTATGTTTTCATGCAACATTGTGAGTAGAATTCTGCTATGAATGCTGTGAAGTGTTGGCTTCTAGTATTTGATATGGGATGTAATTGGCAAATGGGAACTTCAGGTTCCATGTTTAACTTCCTTGTTCTCATGACACCTGTTTAGGTGACATAACAAATCAGTGCAAACAATGAGGTGTTCATGACTGCTTAGGGCATAATGTATAATCTACATCCTTGGAAAATGAGTGATCTGCCCATTAAGTGTAAATTGAAACCAACATTATTTAATTTGAGGAAGGGCTAGTGTAAAAGTTATTGTTAATGGATGAGTAATCTGATGACCCAAGTTTATGTTCTGGGGCAGGAGTAGGCCATTTGGCTCCTCAAGGTTTTTCGGCCATTCAATAGGATCATGGTTGATCCAACATTCCTCATGCCCACTTACTTGCCCTTTCCCCAAACACTTTATCCCTCTCCTGATCAAATATCTATGTATTCAGCCTTAAATATTCTCAGATTCTGCCCCCATAGCTGTCGATGCGAAGGATTTCCAAAGACTCACAACCCTCTGAGAGAAGAAATTTTTCCTCATATCAGTCTTAATTTGGTGCCCCTTTATTCTGAGATGATACTCTCTGAACCTAGACTCTTCCATGGGGAGAAACATCCTCTCAGCATTTACCCCGTCAAGCTCCTTATATGTCTCAATGAGATCACCTCTCATTCTTCTAAACTCCAGTGAGTAGAGCCTCAACCTGTTTAACCTTTGTTCATGAGACAATCCCTCCATACCAGGATCACTCCACTCAGTTCAAAGGTCATGAGGGATGGGCAGTAAATAACCAGTGATGCCCATGTTCCATGAAATAACTTTTTAAAAATTGCAATTGTCACTAGCAGGGCCTCAAAATCCAAGATTTTCACTCTGCTCTGAAAGAAAGAAACAGTAACTTGCTTTTCTCATGTTGCCCACAGCCGCAACCATTTTTGCAGCAGCAGCGGGAGCGGTGAAAGCGAGGACCAGGGGGCTGCTGGGAGGTAAATTTCCCATTTAAATATTTACCTCGTGGAATCAGCAGCCTCCATTTTTTGCAGCAGCAGCGGGAGCGGTGAGAGCGAGGACCAGGGGGCTGCCGGG